GCACGGTTTCAGAGACGGGAAATCCTGTGTCACAAACCTACTGGAGTTTTATGACAAGGTGACAACATTAAGACAAGAAAGTGGTGGGTAGATTGCATTTTCTTGGACTGTAAGAAGGCCTTGACAAGTTCCACACAAGAAATTAGTGCAAAAGCTGGAGGACCAGGCAGGTATAACAGAGAAGGCACTGCAATGGATCAGGTATCACCTGACGGGAAGGCATCAGAGTTATGGTACTTGACGAGTGTCAGAGTGTTCAGAAGTATCCCTGTTTGCAGATCATGTGAAGATAATGAGGAGATTTCAATCGGAAGAGGAACCAGGCAGGACTACAAAGGGATCTGGACAGGCTGCAGGCTTGGTCCAGAAACTGGCTCCTGGAGTTTAACCCCACCAAATTCATGAATATTGGGAAAGATCAAGGAAGACCGTAGACAGAGTACACTCTAGAGGGCCAAACACCACAAATCTCACTCAAGGAAAAGGATCTTGGGGTGAGTATAATACAAAGCACATCTCCTGAGGTGCACATCAACCAAATAACAGATGCAGCATATGGGCGCCCAGCAAACCTAAGAAAAGCATTCCGACATCTCAATAAGGAATCGTTCAGGACTCTACACTGTACGTCAGGCCCATATTGGAGTACGCAGAGTACTGAGAGGAATCGAAAAGGTGGACAGAGACACGATGTTCCAGAGATGGGACACAGCAACAAGGGGTCACAATTGGAAGTTGAAGACTCAGATGAGTCACAGGGATGTTAAGAAGTACTTCTTCAGTCATTGAGTTGTTAGGACGCGGAATAGTCTGGAAAGTGATGTAATGGAGGTAGGATCCATACATAGCTTTGAGAAGAGGTATAATGAAGGCCATGGAGCAGGGAGAGAGTGACCTAGTAGCCATCAGTGAAGAGGCGGTGCCATGAGCTATAATTTGACCCTTGCAATTATAATTATGTTAGTACACACACACACACACACACACACACACTCTTTCACACTAACTAACACACGCTAACACGCATATTCACATACATGCGAGCACTAACTCCAGGATTCACATACTCACCCACGGATTATTATTATAATCAAAAAGATGCGCTAAGCCACAAGGGCTATACAGCGACTCACCCACGGAAATTTATGCTCCCGCACACTTGCACACATACACACTCAAATGCTCTCACAATCATCAGCATACACACGCGTCTATACAAGGAAAGGTTAAAGACTGAAGACCTTGCACCAGGACACCAGGGAGCACAGAAACTGGATCCCAGAAGCCAAGAAGAAAAGGTAGTGGAGTCAAGGAAGAATTTTATGTGAAGGAAGTATGGGTAGCAGGATTCAGGTGCTTGATAGAAGAAGAATGTGGAAAAGGGTTCGTGAGTTTTGCAGAGCGATGGAAGTGTCTGAAGAGAGCAAAGAAAGGAACAGACAAACAGCAGTTGCTTAAACTGAGGTACAGAGCCAGGAGGAGGAACTTAGGGAGCTGAAATAAGAAATGGAGCAGAGGGAGAAAAAGAACAATGAGATGGGAGCAGGAATGGCAACAGCAGGTGAGGTGACTAAAGGAGGGGAGGAGCTAACAGGACATTTACAAAAAACTATAACAAAACCAGGAGGTGCAGATGATAAGAGGGGAACAGCAAAAGCGTTGCTCAAATTGAACACAGAGAAATGGAGACAACTGTGCGAGAAAGGGAGAGAGAGAGAGAGAGAGAGAGAGAGAGAGAGAGAGAGAGATGACTTCACATCGCAAAATAGCAAGAATGTCTACGCTATCTGGCTATTGTCCCACTAGTTACTGTAGTGTTTGTGGGTAAACCACAAGGGACAAAATACTTCTTAGATGTAAGGAGCCTACTTGTTCCAACTACTGGCGCACAGATTGCATTCCAGAAGAAGAATTTTGTTGCAGCCAGGATGAAAATTTCAGAAAATTGAAGGATATCCATAATCCTGTGGTATATGTGGATATAAGCCTGGAGCTACAGGAGGAAGGTTCAGAAGTACGACCTCAGGGACTCCTGTCCAAAGATCAAGACTGCCCTCATGGCTGTGTTGTAAAGTCGCAGCTAAAATAATCCATCACAGGGAAGCACTTCATGAGCTCCTCAAATCATTAGATAACCTTCAAGCTATTGTAGAAGGTCAGTGCAAGCCTACATCAAGTGACGTAAGCTGCTCAGCTGATGGCGACACTATTGACAATGACTGGATGTTCCACACTGAGCTTAACTCAGGGGTAAATAACTGGTGGAATTCTGTCATTGCTAAGGTCCCACAGACTAACAGAGTTCAAAACGCTACCTTTGGGAATTCTAACACAATTCCTCTGACCACCACAGAGGGAACAAATCCTCTTCCCAGCAACGATGGAAGCCGGACCGGGCCGCGGGGGCATTGACCCCCTGAACTCTCTCCAGGTAAACACTACAGTAGTTATCCCGTGGCCCTGAGTTTCAAATAACTTTCGTAATGAACAGTAGAGAGTGAAGCAGCACGAGAAGGATAGAAACCAAACTTCAGAAGAGGGGACTACACAGGCATGAGGCAATTTCTGTATGAGGAGCAGTCGGAAGGAGAACTTGAGGGAAAGACAGTGAATGAGACAAGAGCGCATGTAACCAGAAAGTTCAGGGAAGCAGAATGAAAGTTCGTACCCAGGGGCAATGGAAAAACTAGGAAGACCAGAGTGATCCCATGAATTACCCAGTGGTGCAGAGAGGCCAAAGCCAAATATAACAGAGCGTGGGAAAAAGCATAGAAGACAAAGAACTCAGGACAACAAGTTCAGCTGAAGAGCAAGAAATAAGTATACATGGTTAATGAAGGAGGCTCAACGGTAATTTGGGAATGACATAGCATCAAGAGACACATATAACCCAAGGTTGTTATATAGCCTCGAAATGAGGGAAAAAAAAGCATTAACGGGCCAGGTAATCAGGCTAAAGAAGGAAGGTATGGAGCTCACAAAGAATTATCAGTAGGTCTGTGAAGCATTCAGTCTTTTGTCTCTAATGAGAACAAAGACTTCCAGCAATCCTAGGAGGAAGAATGCACCGGCACGTGTTGGACACAACACACACAACCGGGAAGGAAGTGAACAAACTGATATGAAAGTTAGATACCTCTAAGACAAAGGGACCAGATAATACATCTACGTGGGCCCTGACAGAGGAGGCAGATGCACGGTGCACTTATTATAAGTATTCATTAAGTTTATCGAACCAGGGCAATTGCTAGATGTGTGGAAGACATCCAGTGTATTCCCACATTTTAAGAAGCGAGGTAAACAGGCATCCTTCAACTACAGATCAATGTCACTGACAAGTAGAGTGTGTAACGCATTGGAAAATAATATCAGGAGAGGAGTGTTGGAGCATCTAGGAAAAAGTGGGTTCTTCCAAGTCATCCAGCACGGCTTCACTGATGGAAAATCCTGTTTTATAAGCCTTCTGGAGTTGTACGAAGTAACATAAGTAAGACAGGAACGAAATGGGCAGAAAGGATTATCTTTTGACACAGTACCGCACGAGATACTTATACAAAAGCTAGAAGAGCAGGCAAGAATACAGAAAAAAACACTGCAGTGGATCAGGAAATATCTAACAGGCAGTAAATAGTAAGTAATGTTCCATGTTGAGGTGTTGGAATGGGTGCATGTGATGAATGAGGTTCCACAAGGCTCAGTTATAGGGTCGGTCCCGTTTTTTGCACACGTGAATGACCTAACATAAAGGATAGTTTTCTACGCTTGCAGATGACATAAAATTAATGAGAGAATACAAACGAATGAGGACCATGAGAGGTGACAAAGAGTCCAGGAGAGGCTACAGGCCTGGTCAGGACAAATGACTCCTGAAGTTAAATCCCACCAAGTTCAAAATTTTGAAGCAGGAACATGGACAAAGAAGACCGCAGACGGAGCACAGGCTCCGGGAAAAAGGGCAAAAGCTCCAAACCTCGCTGAAGAAGGACCGTGGAGTGAGTATCATACCGATGATATATCCTGAGGCACACACAATAAATGTAACTGTTGCAGCAATGCAGGTTTGGTAATCTAAGAATAATATTTCGACGTGTAAGCAAGAAGGTATTCACAACACTGTACACCATAATGGAGTATGCAGCACTAGTATGGAACCGACACCTGGTCAAGCAGATCATGAAATTGGAGAAAGTGCAGAGGTTCACAACAAGACTAGTCCGGAAAGTATGGAGTATGAGTAGGACGAGAAGTTAAAGGAAACTCGACTTGTTGACACTGGAATACAGGAGGAAAAGGGGGGGGGGATATGATGACGACGTAGAAAATATTGAGACGAACTGGCTAGATGAACAGGGACAGAGAGTTTCAGAGATGGAATACGACAATAAGGGAACACAACTGGAAGTTGGAAACCCAGATGAGTTATAGGGATGACAGGAAATATTCTGTCAGCCTTAGAACTATCAGGAAGTGGTGCACTCTGGAGAGTGAAGTAGTAGAGGCATAGTCCATACACAGCTTTAGCGAGAGGTATTGTAAGTCTCTTGGAGATGGGAAAGAGTGGGCCTAATAGCGACCAACGAAGAGGCAGAGCCAGGAACTGTATCTCAATCCCAGCAAACATAAATAAGTTCGTACAAATAAGTGAGAATACAGAATCTTCCAAATTGTATTGTTGAGCAGCTGCGAGATACGTCCAAGGATATCAACTTCATCCCCAGGTATCAACACTCTCCCATTTATTCTTACCTCTGCTTCAGCATTACCATCTCTCTCTCTCTCTCTCCCTCTCTCTCTCTCTCTCTCTCTCTCTCTCTCTCTCTCTCTCTCTCTCTCTCTCTCTACTCTCATTCCCTCTGTCATCAGTCCTCTCGCAATCAAAATTGGCAACACGCTCCATTCATGAATACAAAATACACACTTTTAGAGCACAATAATTCACCAGCAGTGCTCTTCATTAATTAAGCAGGTGCGCCCATACCACAAAGATGTGAAGCTCTTACCCAGAATTACTGCTCCTCAGCTGCATTGTGGCTGGGTGGTTGTGAGTCTTGGCCTGGCTTGAGCGTGGGTGGGGCAGAGTTTGGGTATAAGAGCCAGGAATAGCATACGCCTGGGTATACGTGGGTGCTGGGATAGAAGTAGCTGTCATGGGCATGTGGTGGAAGGAAGCAGAGAGGTGCATATTGACAGTGAGGGGAGAGGAATACTCTCGCTGAATATATTGCGATTGGTGGGTGTGGGGCTGGGATTCAGAATGAGCGAGGACTGGTTCTGCATGTGTATGGACTGGTTCTACGTGGGCATAGACTGGTTCTGCATGAATATGAACTGGTTCTACTTGGACATGGACTGGTTCTTCTTGGGCGACGTTAGCGTGCGTGATGTGGTTGGAGACTATAAAGGCGCCGACGTGGTCTTGGGGAATCTCTGCAGGAAAGTTGGAAGTCTCAGGGTTATTGTTGCCAACTCTATCTCCATACATCGTATAGAAGTCAGCAGCTCCACGACCATCCATGAGATTTGCTCTACCTCCTGGAAATTCAGAAAATTCTCTTGAGAAAAATTTATGACACATCATTCAAGAATAATTTACAACTTACTCACAAGACTATGGCTAGAACAATTCACCACTTACTCACAAAACCATGAATGGAATAATTCACCAATTACTCACAACACCATGGCCGGAACACTTTACCACTTACAACACTATGGAAAGAACGACTCACGAAATCGTAATGACACAATTGCAAACAAACCATACCACGGGAGGGGTAAATTTTATTTCACTTAATTTTAAATAAAATCCTAAGACAATTATCTTAGTTATTATTCCTCATGTTATTCATTATATACTTTTCTATTCGTTTGTTCAGGCGGAAGGCGTTCCCCTGACAATAGGCGAAAGGCCGTTAATAACGGTTCTGTGTTTCTCCGTTCTCAAGTAAATCCTAAAAAAAATTATAATAGGAAGAGTGCCTGATAAAGGTGTTGCTTTAGTTCTTGTTGCCATTTACTGCTTGCTTGTCACATCTCAAATACAACAAACATAACTAGATTATAATATCAGCATTGATAAGGAAGATTAAATGCTTTCTCATTGTTTATGCTCAATAATTCAATTGAGAAAGAATAAGTACCATGTAAGCTTTCCTTAAAGCAGAAAGTCTTCATTTCAGTCACTTAAAGTTAAGGATTTTATTCCTTGTAACTATTTATATTTCAAAATTTGTTCAAATTTTAGCTCTAATCTTTCAATTTTGTTTAGATTTGCCCTTCAGTTATGGAAGCCAAAAGGAAAAGAACAATGGAGAATGAGTGCCATCACTTTAATGAGGAATGTAAAGTAATTCTTTGTTAAGCAGGTGATAAAACCTTGTGTGTCGTAGGCCACGAAACGGTCGGTACTATTACCTGGAGCGTTTACCTGGAGAGAGTTCCGGGGGTCAACGCCCCCGCGGCCCGGTCTGTGACCAGGCCTCCTTAGGTCAGTGTCCCAGGATGCGACCCACACCAGTCGACTAACACCCAGGTACCCATTTTACTGATGGGGAACATAGACAACAGGTGGAAAGAAACACGTCCAATGTTTCTACTCTGGCTGGGAATCGAACCCAGGCCCTCACCGTGTGAAGCGAGAGCGTTAACCACCAGGCCACCAAAGATATTCCCAGTTCAGAGTAAAACAGAGTTCGAGAACATTTTTATCAATGCAATGCAAGTTACTTTCCCAACAAGGTTCCTCTTTACACAGGATAGAGCAGAAAATGAAGCTTAAATAAGGGCCAGTTTCAGAGTAGTTTATGTTTTAGCGAGGAAAGCCGATTCGCTGATGAACATATAATCAAAGAGTGTATGATGGAAGTAGTGGAAGAGCAAAAGCAAATCTATTCAAAATCCTCAGTGGAAATACAAACACATATGCAGTATAAAGTGATCCTTTACTGACAACGTTTCGCCCACACAGTGGGTTTTATCAAGTCAAAAACAGATCTGCTCGACGTGATAAAGCCCACTGTGTGGGCGAAACGTTGTCAATAAAGGACCATATTATACTGCATATGTGTTTATATTTCCATTGTGTCGGTATTTTATACCATTTATTTCCAAAATCCTCAGTCTTCTTCCAAATACTATTGCTCATAGAATTGAGGATACAGGAAGCAATATATTTCATCAAATTGCAGATAAAGCACGAAATTTTCAGTTTTATTCTCTCGTGGCGTCGACAATGAATTTATTGTCACACATGAATCAGCATCATTACACAGCATGCACAGCACAACAAGCGGAGAAGACATCTTCAAAGAATTGTAGTGTGTAACCTGGAGTGGAATATACTGCAATGCGTATCAATTGATACTTATTATTTAGCAGTTCGATCGGTTTAGTTGTGGAAAGTTCTGTCACGGTTCTTTCAGCTCAGTAAGGAAATTGATTAATTTCTCACAGAGAAGAATCGACCCAAATAACTTGTATCGAACGTTGACTGTCTTTGAAACTGGCATTTTTTTGCAGATGTGACAATGCCATATAAATGAATTTCATCTGAAGTTGCAAGGTAAAACAAATTTGATTTGTGATCTACTCAAGATTGATAAGCCATTCAGTACAAAATTTATGTTATTTGAAGAACAGGTGAAAGTTTCTAACTTGGTTCATTTCCCACAATGTGAAAAATTTCTTGAAGAAAATGATACAGAATTTCCTTTCTTCATTTTGTAATAAAAATCATTGATGACTTCCAAAAACAATTTCAGAAATGTTTTTTTCTTATCTTGATGAAATCGGATAAAATATACGTGTTTCAAAATCCAACTGACTGCATTGTTGAAATTCTCCTCAGTTATTTTCAACCTGGAGAGCCTGTCAGTGTGATCTTAACAGTGAGAGATGAGTTTCAATGGCAAGACGTACATTTTGCAGTCCAAGGTTTCTACTGCTTTTGTCAGTCTTTCCCTGCACCGACCACTGGAAATTCAACTGTTCAAATGCAACGGCAGTGTAGTGTCTAGAAGTAGAACTATTAACATCTAGAAGTAGAACTAGTATCATCTAGAAGTAGAACTAGTAGCATCTACAAGTAGAACTAGTATCATCTAGAAGTGGAACTAGTATCATCTAGAAGTAGAACTAGTATCATCTAGAAGTAGAACTAGTATCATCTAGAAGTAGAACTATTATCATCTAGAAGTAGAACTAGTAGCATCTACAAGTAGAACTAGTATCATCTAGAAGTGGAACTAGTATCATCTAGAAGTAGAACTGTATCATCTAGAAGTAGAACTAGTATCATCTAGAAGTAGAACTATTAACATCTAGAAGTAGAACTAGTATCATCTAGAAGTGGAACTAGTATCATCTAGAAGTAGAACTAGTTATCTAGATGTAGAACTAGTATCATTAGAAGTAGACTATTAACATTAAGTAAATGTATCATCTAGAAGTGAACTAGTATCATCTAGAAGTAGAACTAGTAGCATCTACAAGTAGAACTAGTATCATCTAGAAGTGGAACTAGTATCATCTAGAAGTAGAACTATTAACATCTAGAAGTAGAACTAGTATCATCTAGAAGTGGAACTATTAACATCTATGTAATAGTATATCTAGAAGTAGAACTATTAACATCTAGAAGTAGAACTAGTATCATCTAGAAGTGGAAATAGTATCATCTAGAAGTAGAACTATTAACATCTAGAAGTAGGACTAGTATCATCTAGAAGTGGAACTAGTATCATCTAGAAATGGAACTATTAACATCTAGAAGTAGAACTAGTATCATCTAGAAGTAGAACTAGTATCATCTAGAAGTAGAACTAGTATCATCTAGAAGTGGAACTATTAACATCTAGAAGTAGAACTAGTATCATCTAGAAGTAGAACTAGTAGTATCTAGAAGTAGAACTAGTATCATATAGAAGTGGAACTAGTATCATCTAGAAGTGGAACTATTAACATCTAGAAGTAGAACTAGTATCATCTAGAAGTAGAACTATTAACATCTAGAAGTAGAACTAGTATCATCTAGAAGTGGAACTAGTATCATCTAGAAAGGAACTATTAATCTAGTGAACTAGTATCATCTAGAAGTAGAACTAGTATCATCTAGAAGTAGAACTAGTATCATCTAGAAGTGGAACTATTAAATCTAGAAGTAGAACTATATATAGACATAGACTGTGTATCTAGAAGTGAACTAGTATATTAGAGTGAACTGTATCATTAAAGTGGAATATTAACACTAATAGAACCATATCATCTAGAAGTAGAACTTTAGTATATTCTAGAGTAGTAATAGTATCTCTACATTTGAATCCCGAGTACTAGAAGAGAATAGTATATAAGAAGTAGAACTATTCATCTAATGAACTAGTATCATCTAGAAATGGAAATCTTATTAACATTAGATAGTAAATAGTATCTTAGAATAAACTAGTAGCGTCTGAGTGACTAGTGGTCTTAGAAGTAGAATCTCGTTAGCATCTAGAAGTCAAACTATCTCTAATAGTAACCTATTCATCAGAATGGAATATATTCTATAGAATGTGAACTAGTACATCTAGAAGTAGAACTGTACATTAGAAGTGGAACTAGTAGCATCTAGAAGTAGAACTAGTATCATCTAGAAGTAGAACTAGTATCATCTAGAAGTGGAACTAGTATCATCTAGAAGGAACTAGTAGTATCTAGAAGTAGAACTAGTATCATATAGAAGTAGAACTAGTATCATCTAGAAGTGGAACTAGTATCATCTAGAAATGGAACTATTAACATCTAGAAGTAGAACTAGTATCATCTAGAAGTAGAACTAGTAGCGTCTAGAAGTAGAACTAGTAGCGTCTAGAAGTAGAACTAGTAGCATCTAGAAGTAGAACTAGTATCATCTAGAAGTAGAACTAGTATCATCTAGAAGTGGAACTAGTATCATCTAGAAGTGGAACTAGTAGCATCTAGAAGTAGAACTAGTATCATCTAGAAGTGGAACTAGTAGCATCTAGAAGTAGAACTAGTATCATCTAGAAGTAGAACTAGTATCATCTAGAAGTGGAACTAGTATCATCTAGAAGTGGAACTAGTAGTATCTAGAAGTAGAACTAGTATCATCTAGAAGTAGAACTAGTATCATTTAGAAGTGGAACTAGTAGTATCTAGAAGTAGAACTAGTATCATCTAGAAGTAGAACTAGTATCATCTAGAAGTGGAACTAGTAGTATCTACAAGTAGAACAAATAGTACATACTTTTGTGAGTGGCATTACGTAAGTAGTTGTGATATGCTGTAAAAATATTATATGTTCCATATCTTTGATCCACTGACATCTCTCTCCAGTATATTTTATATTAATTCTCTTTTCCCTATTTTATCCCGGCAGTAGCTAGAGAGAGTGTTGGATGAAGAAAAGATCTTTCTGCTATATTATCACTGATCTCAACATTCTTGGCATTATTTTTGATATAAATAGTCCTTTTAGCGGAGAGCTCTGACGTGGCCTTGGTCTTCCAATATCTCCGTTTCTTATCTTCTCCTCT